AGTGTGAGGGATTGTATTCAAGTCAATGAGTCGATGCAATCAGCTGGTTTTCCTTAGATAGAAAACTTTGAATCAATTTGACTGGATGATCTGGTTGAATTGTAAAGTGACTTGAGATGACACGTCTTTTGAATTTGCGCTATATAAATAAAGTGAATTGAATTAATTAAAAAGTAAACATTTGTTAGAACCTATTAGTGGACAAATCTTGAAGGTTTCATCTGTTGTGGATGTTTTAGATGATCCGTTCCTTCTACAAGCAGCAATGAAGTAAACACTCTATTAAATGCAGAGAGAGGCAGATTTGCCAGCAGGTGGGGGTATCAGCGTGAACAGCCTGTTACTGATTGCAGTTCTCTCTGGCAGAGATCCAAACACACAGTATGGAAGTGTACATGGGGGAAATATACCTTTGTTATTGTCAGCTATCTGCTATGGACTGTTTATTTGTTTTCATTACATTTTCATGGTTTAAGAGACCTGACATGAAACATGTGTGTCAGTGGTGCATGGTTGGTGCAGAGCTGCAGACGTGTTACTCACACTCAGAGCATTCTCTATGTTAATTAACCAGCCGTCAAAGCGGTAATACTGACTGATCTGGACTAGTTTGTTAGCCACTTCCTGGTAGGACTTCTCATCCTTCAGGAAGGTCTCGCACACTGCAGCTCCATCAGTCCATTCGGTGATGAAAGTCCCTGAAAAGCAGACCAGGGTTTCATGACACAACAGAGTAGAGACCGGTTAGCTCACAAACTAAATATGTTGTGTCAATAAGGTTTGACAGAACGGGGGTTAGCGTCATCGCTCAACCGGTTGAGCTGCGTGGAGTGGCAGTTGCTCCAGACCTTCTCCTCTCACTTTATACTGTTTTTGCCCACATTAATGAAAAATTTAGCCTGAGACTTTTTTCTATAATATTTTCTTTTAGATCTCCTTTCCATCTTTGTGTATAATTTGTAAAAATCTTATTGTGGAGGGCAGTACAAATATATTTTTTCTCTGTTAATAGAAACTGGATAGAATTTGTATCCAGTTTTCAGTTTTTTCAGCCTCTAACAGGTTTATTTCTAAGTATTTAGTTTCATAACTCACCAACTCTGACCAGCTTCCGCATCACTGCAGAAGAAATGGATCACTGCAGCATGATGCTGCCACCACCGTGCTTACAGTGGCGATTGTGTTAGTTTTCCTTCACATACAGCCTGTCACCTGAAGGCACCACACCTTCCTGTGTTTTTGGTAAAATGCTATAAGACAGATTCCGTCCACCAAAGGCTTTTCTACTCACCACTCTTGTAAAAACAGCTTGTTTTTCCTGTCAGATTTCCTAACCTGAGCCGATGATCTCTGTGCCACCAGAAACTGAAATTAATTTACTTAGACTGAATTTGTATGCACATAAATTGAAATTCAAAGAATTTGGATTTAAAGGAGAAGTCTAGTCATTCAAATTTCTAAAAGTACTTTACAATAAAATTATTACATACTGTTCAATAAATGATAAGTATTTTTAAAGTTGTAGGGAAGCAACCGTTGAATTTCCGAATTCTCCCGAGTGTTGCCC